CACAGCCGCCGCCAATTAATTGTCGGGTAATTTCGATGCGATGAGGCTGCTAAGAGGCTGAGATGGGGGCCTCTGCGGTTCACTGTAGCGCGATATGAGAGACAGTGGTATGAGAATGACCTGCGCGAGGCTGACAGACCTCTCAGAGGCGCCGTGGGCCGGAGGAAGGCGCTGGGGAAGCGGTGGGTGGTCGCAGGGAACCAGCGGGAGGGGCGCTGATTTTGCCGCTGATAGGAGGGTGTTGACAGCACTGGGGTTACTGGGGGAGATGGGCAGCAGGGCGGGGCAGCCGCTGGACTATCGGACGTTGCGGCTCGATCATGAACTCATGCCAGAGAAGGTTTTTTTTGAAAAGGCCTTTGGATACCTGTAGTTTCGTCTCGAGATGATGCGAGTTTCTCAGTCAAAAACCAGAGCCGAGTAAATCTTTCCCACGCACCCTTTTCTTCCTTTGCCACACGGGGATACAGCCCAGATACAACCTGAGTCGGTTCCGTATTCGCATGCAGCTTCCCCTGGGGCTTTCTTGCATATGTTGTGCAATTTATACACTCTAATGTATACACTCTATTGTTAAAAACGCATGCATTTAGGTTTTAGAGCCATTTTCCTGCCGTCTCTTTTTCCCCTCTTTCTCTTCCTCTCTCTCTCTCTCTCTAGTCTCTCTCTCTCTCTCTCTCTCTCTCTCTCTCTCTTTCTCTCTCTCTCTCTCTCTCTCTCCCCTCCTACCGCTCTCTCTCCCTTTCTTCAGCTCTCCTTCCCTCTCCCCCTTTTCTCCGTCGCAAAGATGAAGCGTTTTTGTGCAGTGCAGTCAGCCTCTTTTTCACAGGCCGTTAGGGTCTATTTATCACTTGACGGCAATTGAGCCTTGTTGCCACCTTACAGAGCACTGCATTCGCCCTCACTCAGAAGGGCTCCGACCTCAAATACAGATGTCCGCACAGGGCATGTTTTTCACACAGCCAGCCGATTAATTATACGTCGTCCTCTTTCAACCCATTCTTGGTTAAACACTTGCGATTCACCAAGTGCGTCGGTGTTGACATACTCCACGAGGATAATGGCGGAGATTGATCTTCCTCAACTATTATGAAGCTTTCTCTTCCATGGCACTGCTGCTGTCGTCTTCTAAATACGAAATTTCTTTTGGTTACGCTGCTTACATATTCGTTGGTTAGCTCGGTTCAGTTTGAAATTTTTTTATCAAACTCCAATACGCTTACGTGAACATCTGAAGGCACCTGGTATTTTAAAACAAAATGATTCTTCTCCTCAATGATATATCTTCGGTAACAAAATGGAACGAAATCTATAAAAGGGATGCATTAAGGTTCATAGAACAGTAGTTCTGAGCTCGCAACTTATATCTACATTGCTATTTACATATAACTGCATTGCGTATGATTTTCAAGCAAAAGGCGTCATTTGTAAATGCTACAACTGTACACATAACTACAACGGATACAAATGCTGCATGGTTGGTACTCGTTTTTATTCGTATTACTACGGATACTACATTGATTTCTGATGATTCACGCCTTTCGACTGAAAGTAAAACCAATGATCGTCGTATATCACATTATATCACCCCTTCCCTTCCCTTTTCTCACTCCACCCATCCTGATCCAAACCACCGCCACTGACCCCTGCCCTCAAGGCAGGCGGGTCAAACGAGGTCACCCATTAGCTGGACCGCGGTGGTGGCGGCGGCAACGCCGAGGCGAGAGCGTCGCACGTGCGTCGGCGGGAGGGAGCATCCCCTGCGGCCGGCCTGACTCTCGGAATGGCGAGTAATGGGGACTGCAAGAGCGGGCTCCACCACCGTCGCCGCTACCGCCGCCGAGGGGCGTCTCCCGCCAGCCTGTAATTGGGGTGTTGTGCAACTCCCATCCGGTGTGAGAGAACCAGGAATGCATTGTATGCAATGTGTAGAACGGTGTTGGACCAAGTCCAGCATGGCAAGCTATGGTGATAACTGATAGGTAATGGATCAGCTGTTTGCCGAATAGAGACTTCGCTATGATTGGTCTCATCCCAGCATCGCATCCAGCCCGAATAAGATATCAGGGGTAAGAAAGAGGAAAGGTGAGCCGCTCATAAATGCAAGAGCTATCTCCTGTCATGCAGGGATAAATGTGTCAACATGTTACGCCTTCGCGGCATCCCATTTTAAAATGTAAACAAATAAGGTCCAGTCTTACACATGGCGCCAGTAGCCTTTCACTCTGCGACTGTAGCCGTTTCTGGCCACCTCAGCGCGGTGAGAACTCGGTGTCTTACAAGGTAACCCATTAGCTCCCCTAAAACAACAGCGGCAAAAACGGCTGCTCGGGCTGACGGTCTGCCGTCTCCGGTTTCGTGAGAGGTGCTCGCGCCCCCCTGAGTCGGCAGTTGGCCCTGCGTTTGTGTAACCCAGCGTGGGAAACTCGACGAGGGGGGTGCGGTTGGGTGAGCTTCGTTCTGGCCCACTGTGCGGTCGGTATTTCACGCCTATATCTGAACACTGCCCACCGGGAATCAGCTATGCAGTGCGCACATACGAAATACAAATGAAATTATGAAATTATGTACATATTAGCCGTTTTCAGTTCACGACGGGCTATCCGACCAATGCACCTGATTTGACCAAATCTGCACCTAATTTCTTTTACAGCAAATATCTTTATTTTATGAATTTATTTCAGTGTTTTAATCGATGATGCTCTCTGATAATATGACAAAGCAGGCATACAAGCAATTAGTGCAACCCTAGCTGGCTCTGCTAAGAGACACACTGAACCTGATTTGACCAAACCTGCACCCAATCTGTACCAGATGTGCACCAAATGTGTACCAGATGGCCGTCGTGAAAACGGTTATATTGTACCGACAACAGACATCAGCTCGTAACTAGTGAATCGGCAATCGGCACCTGCGGAGATGAGACACTCCGCAACGGTTACGATTCGAAACGGTAAGCGGAAGTTTCAAGTCTAACGCCGTTTAGCATCGTTGTTAGTGAAAAGAGCATGCAAGACCATTCAGCTGTATCTAAGCTGGATCCAGCCTTCAGAAGACGCATGCGTTTATAACGCAAAGAGCGTCACATGGGATGATACATAAGCTTTGGTGTGCTTTTGTAGAGGGCCGAGTGCATTTTAGCGTGCTACATAAGAAAGCTTAATCTGTGCTTCTGAGCTTTAAGAAGTCTGTGTGGTCATTTTTGCCATTTTTCTGTGAATTTATAAGGTGGTCATTTTTTTGTGAATTTATAAGGTGACCTTTGCAGGGCCAATCCAGTAACTAGCTCTTCAAAATATCCACGGTTTACTTTTTTTAAGTGGTTAGTTCATGCTCTCCATGGAACCGCGCTGGATTTTGTGAATACGGAGAAACCTCTGAAAGCAGATTTTGCGAGGTTGCCGGTGTTTGCCTTCAGCTAATTACCGACCTAAACTGAGTCACGAACCAGGCGAAACACTTCCTCGTCGGAACCCACCCTATCTGACCGAGCTTTGTGCGCCAGAGATCTTCATTTTGGACGCTGATAGAGCGCCAGGTGAAAGTCTGTCACATGCCTGAATAGATTTGAACGATCATAGAAAATTCGTAAATAGAAAATTTGCATCGATGGTCATCCAATGAGTTGATGTTCGCCGTAACGTGATCGATTAGCTTTCGCTGCGAACGCTTTTGTTGGCTGAGCGATGGATGCGCTTCACTGGCGGGGGATGTGCAGGGTGGACAGTTCTGAGCTGTGAGGAAAAAATAACTCCGCTGCACCCGACAATGATATTGACATTCATATTCCAGTGGAGAGTCGCATCTCTAAATATTGCGTTTGCTCTTCCTTGGACTACTTTGTTATTTGTAACTGTATCCCTGCTTTTCCATGCATTTGAACAATAGAAAGAACATACAATGCACTTTGTAGAATGAATGAGATGTGAGCTTTGTTATGCGGACGACGTTTTCATTGCTTTTTGCTCTAACATACCTACGCTCACTTTTTGTGTGTTAAATCTGTAACTTTCTTTTGTATTTGTTTATTTCGGTGTATAGCTGTGCCTAGAAAGGTGGTTTCGGATGCTGCGGGGGATAATCATATTTAAAAAAACTCCTTAAATGAAAAAATTGATTTCGATTTCTTACGCACTGCTATGAAGTTTAATGCCTTAAAAAATAAAAGCTGTTCAGTTTGAGTTCTTTGTAACCTGGACTTTCTAAACGTTTCTTCTGAAAGCCTGTCAGGATCGTGAGACTGATGACGTGAAAAATCTGGAATTCTAGAGAACATGCACAGAATACATATATTATATGCTACTTGGATTAATGGAAATCCTTGGACTTCATTGTGCTAATTCCCTATCTCGTCTGGTCTCACCGGCCAAAAAGCCGGTTCAAACTATACTGGGTTTGCATACTTTTGCATACTTTTGCATACTTTTGCCTTCGCAAATGTACAATATTCACTTATTCATCGAGCCCAAAGCAGTTATCGAAATTGTTGCGGTTGCTATTTGGCTCCAATTATAGGCTTAAGTGATCGTGAAAGTTCAAAGATTATCCCAGGCAATTGTTTGGATTAGCGTCATGATCCCATTCAGATATGTTTATCCGAAATCTCGTGCCTTGTTCACATTCATACCGAAACGCAACGCTTGTGATCCGCGGTCGTGGTGAATCGCTTTTGAGAAAATGTTTCCTATCCATTCTTGGAGGAAAGTGTAGAATTTCTAGATTTTTACAGTACGGATATTAGGTAATACGTGCGGACCTGCGGTAGAGCCGTAAAGGCGGTTGAATATATCTCTGTATGCAGAGCATCACTCAGCTTTCTCACCCTCCAAAGAATTCCTAACTGGATCCTCTCTTCGGTTCCCATGAGCCCTGCACCATAGCAAAAGGCCAGAGCCCTGATCTCGAGAGACGAGATACAGACCGTGGAACATAGCTCGTCCTCTGAGGTCGGCGAAGGTGGCGGCGCGGTGTGGCGTCTGGCGGAACTACTGCCACCGCGTGGTTCGGGAGTGCGGGTGGCTGGCAGCGGGGCGAGCCGGCAGTTTTCCGCCGGACGCGGGGGTGCGTGCGTGTGTGCCGGGTGTCTGTCAACCGTCCGTCACACGTGACAGTGACTGAGTGACGCAGGTGTCACCTGGAGAGGAATCGGAGTGACGCGGACTGCACGCGAGAAGCGTGGATTGTTGATTCCGCGGAGACGGTTTTCCGGTTCAGTTTGTGTTCAGAATTCAGGTCGTGGACAAGTGTTGTGACGTACGAGAAGGGACAGTCTGCTCCCCTACCAGTGGACGAAAACCAACCACGCCCCCGGTGCTCCGTCGGGACACCCCGTCCCAGCTGACACTGGCAGTTCGATCTGTTTCGCCTGCCGACCCGTCATGATCGCGCTGTCTTTGCCGAGCTCTTCTCCGAGACACTTCACGCAGAGTAGCGAGTAGCACTTTCCGAGGTAAGTGTCGCCCCTCCCCACGCCCCCCACCCGCCCGGGGGCTTTCGCCGTATCAAATTAGCGCTGGTTTATGGGCCCGCCGCCGTGCACGATGACGGCGGATGAGCTACGTCCTTACCGCTGCTTCCTACCCGCTGCGAAAGATCGGCAGATAACCGAGCTGGGCAGAGGAGCCGACCTAGCGCGGGTCTATGGCTGCCTGCACGTCGGCACCGCTCTGCTTCTCGTAAATAACGATTAGTTTGGATGACTGTGAGATTTATAATGAGCAGACGTTACAACTCGAGATGAGCCGGTCCCTTTGAAGCGTTTCACCATGTTTCAGTGCAGTCCGTGAATGTCTCGTGTTGCATTTAATGGCTTTGATTTTCAGTCTCATTTTTCGTATTTGGCTGTCGAGGCCTTGAGTTGGTGCTTATATAAAACGTCGATGATGAAACGTTGATTCTTTGCGCTTCTCTATTTCATCCAGGCCCATTTTTGACTTTTTTTGCGATATTAGGTAAAAACAGAAGCTTCTTATCCTAGGAAAAATAAAATGGGAAATCTTTCAAAGGTGGCACACTACCTTTAACAGCGAAAATGAATGACCCTACTTACCCTAATTAGCCTGTGAGGTTCACATGCTTTCGTTCCAAATCGCGATGACTTCTAAACTCTCGGTCACGGGATAACCTTGAGGCAAAAGATTGTGTATTATTTTTTCGTCGCTTCTAAATTTCTGTAGCTTCGACGCCCAATTGCTGACCTCTGGCGGCATTCCCACAGCAGTGACTACGCAGCGTTTATACACGTCGATCCGACGACAGATTCATCGTTCGATGCTCGACAATCGACATTTTTCAGTGTAAACACCCAACGTCCCTGCCTCTCTACTACTGACACTTATACATCTTTACCGCTGCTTCAGTATTCCTATTGGCCCTCGAAATGTGGATACCGCACGCCCGGTCCCATTCGGTGGTGTGTGTGTTGCTGAGAGCTGTTCCATTCGGGCCAGACGGCCGTAAGTGCGTCCCGTTTTATCGGGGGCGTTTTCTACCCTGCGCCGCCGTATACGCAGGACTGCTGCGTACGTGTCGCAATGTGCGATCAGTATCGATCGCTGGTCCACTTTTATCTCGGGTAACACCTCCCTACGTCTCTCCCGAACCACACCACTCTAATTCTCTTCCGGGTCACACCTTTCCACTTCCCCACTTCTATCCCGTGGTTTCACCTTGGCACTGGGAGCCGAGTCAGTCGTTCTCCTGTCTCAGATACGGCCTTAATTGCGGCTTTCTGGTTTTAACTTTTTTCCAAACATACATCTTTATGGTTTCTTCCAGCGACATCATCATTTCAAAACGACATCTGTCACTCGGCATTCGCAATGTAACAGTTCGCAAACAACTGTTTATCGATGACGGGAATTCCCATGCTATGGCACTGGGCCAGTACCGGTGTGCAGATTATGACATAGCTTTTTATCAGCTCTTATGATCAAACATATTTGATCATTCAGTGTGTAACTGGGCCGTCACGCTATGGTACTCTACGATGCTACAATTTCCTGAATAACTGTGTCAGCATTGACAGTTTAACTAATGAATGCCAAATATGTGTCAGTAATGTACGGTGCCTTTTAAAATGTTCCTTTCAATTGACAATGCAGTCTCGGTTTACCAACAAGTTGTTGTTTCCATCGAATTATAGCTCGCTTGGCATGACATGGAAATCCCTTCAATGCATTACATTGGACAACAAATCAAAATCAGTGGCACGTCATGTTCAGTATTTGATCGTCTAATCAGAAATACACAAATATACACAGCGGGGCGTGGATCTGCGCGCAGCCACCTACTCGCCGTCAGTTTTATGACTGCATAATTTCCGGGAACGTGCGTGTCTGCCTTCCCCACCCCGTGTATCCCGCTGTGAGTCTGTGACCTCAGGACTCAGGAGCAATGGTCTCCTGTCCGCCGGTAGCCGGTGGCTTCAACTCGCTTCCCGCTGATTAATTATGATGAGAGACACGCCAAGCAGCTCGCCAATTGTAATCAGACATGCGTCTCTGAGTAGGACGAACTTGGAGATTTTCGAGAGACCCTGCCGACTTTCCCAAGAGCTCCCGATGAGCGCATCCCTGTGTCCTGAGCCTCAAAACGTCGTGCTGAGTCTCGAGACGTCTCGCTCTGTTGGTTAGGATCCTCGTCGCTCACGACCCGACGCGTTTCCCTTCACATGGGTTCGTTTAGCGTGAGTTTCGGTGGCCCATTAATATTGAGCAGGTAACTCTCACTGGGTGTGTCACTCGGTCCGTGAGAACTTTCCGCTGTTCAATCACATTACAGATCGAAAGGACCGTTAGTATTGAGACCTCACTGTGTCAGTTCGACGATATTTATCTAGTGAGGAAACTCGGGTCGAACGCCTGTCGCGCCGCGCGATGTTTGACACATGGACAAGGTTCAGAGCACGCCGGCTATGTTACGAACCGCCGTCGGGTCGGCACGATCCGATAGGTGATCGCCGGTCCAATTTTACCCTACAGGTTCCGGAGAATGTGCCGGCACGTCCGGACTCCCGCTCCCGTCCCCGCCCCGGCCCGAGGCGTGCTGCGGGTGGGGGAGGGGGGGGGGGGGGGTACCGCACGGCTCGAGACCCGTGAGACCCGACACAGGCCGGTCAGATCGAGCTCAGCTGAGGTTTGTAAGCACGTGTGACCGTGGGAGCAGCCACTGCACCTATCTGCAGACCGGAGGCCTCTTGCACCAAACTACCTAGCTAGGTAAAATCGAAAAACCGGTTTCAGAATAAGCTAATCAAACGGTGGAAAATTTGTTTGCAATAGCCCAATACATAATCCTACAGGTACTTGATAAATTTTACATCCAAATTGTCACATTTGAGTCTTGGATTGGGTATACGATGCAAAATAATCCAAGCATTGGTGCAAGAGGATTTTGGTGCAAGAGGCCTCATATCTGTTCGGCGTGCCGTGTTTGACACCACTGAGCACGCCTCGATCGGCAATAATCACCGATTGACGGCGGCGGACAACGGGCAGAGACCGCATGCAGACCGGAAAAATGGCAAACATGCTGTCCACAGCGCGGGCGCAGCAGCTCAGAGTGGTGTTCCGGCTCTAAATAGCCGCCGTTACACGCCTTTGTGCGCTCGGTGTGAGAGTATTTTTGTTGTGGTCAGTGCAGGCTGCTGGTTTGTGTGGTGATTTCTTTCGCAATGGATGAGTTATGACCAGAAAAGAGAGCCGGTAGTTATGTGACGGCTACAGGTAAACTCAGCGTGAGGAACTTCTGAGTGACGTGACAGTTAAATTGCACCCAGCGCCATCAATCATCATTACTCTCCCCTGTCCAAATTTCACATCTTTGTCATTCTTCCCGTCACTTACAACCAACTCTCTCGGCTCCGTTTAGAAGTGAGCTGAAGGTGGTATCCATATTCATCGACTCCGACTGTCTCCGTGTAGCGTTCGGAGTCCCGCGGAGTCGTGTTCCTCCGTCCCCGCAGTTCCTGCTGCGGTCATTAGCAAGGCCCGCTCCACCCTCGGAGAAAAAAAAAAACGGACAAAAAACTTGGGCTTCATTTCATTACAGACGAAACTGAGCTGGCTTCGCTTACAACCACTGTTCATTTTCCATATGGTCGCACCAGAAAGATGAAGGGTTTTGACACCTCCCTTGGGAACCGTGCACCGTCTGAACTTGGCCCGTTAGCCGACACTTTCCCAGCTCCTAATGACCGGGAGTGGAGACTTCCGACTGGCATAACCGTATTACTTTTCTCCTTCGTGGTCTCTCCCACCGACCACTTTCGTCTCCTGCCTATCAGCTATCCAATCGTCCACACTGGGCTCCCACACCGATTTAGAGTTCCGTGTGATACGGTCCTGGGTCCGCGACCTCGCGACCCGATTTTACACACGCCGCCGCGCCGGCCCGCGGGAGCTGTCGCCACGAGTTATAACTCAGCTAACGAACTCTTGGCGTGCCGCGCGCGGATCCTCGTATCCGTGCCGTATTCATTTATACGGCGAGTATCTGGGACACGAGTCCAGTGGGAGGATCTATCATCTTCATCGTCTCACCGCAGGCGACGGTGAGCACGCTCCATCATGTCAAAGTCGTAGATGAACCACGGATCGCCGCACTCGAGGCCGGCTTCCGACAGAGGGTCATCCTTCCTCCGGGATTGTAATATCGCTGCGCTGACAGGGCTACATCGGGTACAGCTGGTTTGCCAGCGGTGACCTGTCATGTATAAGGTGTGTAATTGTATACAGGTAATCCTCAGTCTGGCTCTTGATCTTCGGGATGATAACGACGTAGTTAGTTAGCTATAGCAGCGCTACAGTTCTTTCAGCTGGGACCTCCCAACTGCGATGGAATAAGCTCAGAGATGGCAAAGTGCATTACTTTGTGATTGCGTTTGAACGGCTGACCGCGCCAGCGCCTCTCTGTGGATTTTCCCTACTGCGTCACTCTGGAAAATGAAAGGGTATAGGTCCCAGATAGGCATAACAAATAAGCGGAATAAGCGGAACTTACACGATTAAGTATGTTGAAAGCAGAATGGCCTTGAAAAATTTGATATTAACGCAATATTAGAAACTGCGTTCATGGCCAATATTGCTGACGGCATTGAATATTTGGGTAGCTCGTAATCTTGTCACCAAACATTGATGTTGACAACAAACAATAGTTTATAGATGTTGGAACAGCAAGGTTCAATTTCTCTGCTCCTAAATAATGTATCGTTAAGTGCGAATAGTTGTTTCACGTCTTACCTCTGAGCTATTTTAGGCCATTGCCTTAACGGGTGACTGCAATTCGGCAGGGTGACTAACACTAAGAGATATCGAAGTGAATGCCTGAGAGTTGAGACAGTGTTCAAATGAGCACAACACACAGGGGTAAACAAACGGAATAGATCGATTCATGAAAATACCCATCGAGGGCGGTCCACCGACGATAATTTCTTACAAAATTTAGTCA